TTATATCATTGTGAGCATAAATTAGTATCATCTGCAAACAAGATTGCGTCTAATACATTACAAGATTTGCTTAGATGATTGATATATACTAGAAATAAGAGCGGTCCTAGTATAGATCCTTGTGGTACTCCACAAAATATATTTATGTTGTTAGTTTTTCCGTAATTATGAGAAATATATTGCTGTCTATTTGACAGATAGCTTTTAAACCATTTACAGATTTACAGTATCAAAAGCTGAGATCAATAAATACTCCTAAAGTATATTTATTTTCATCAAAAGATTTAAGAATACCATGAACAAGATGAACATATGCCTGATCAGTAGAGTGATCCTTTTTGAATCCAAATTGTTTATTATAAAGAATGTTATTATTATCTAAGAAATAAAAGAGTTTTTTATATTTAGTATGTTCTAATATTTTTGAAAAGCATGGTAGTATTGAAATGGGTCTATAATTTGCAATACATGTTGCATCTCCAGATTTTAGAACCGGCATCACCTTTGCAACTTTTAGTTTATCAGGAAAGATTCCTTGTTCTAATGAAAGACTAAAAATGTGCAGAAGCGGAGTTTTTAAATAAAATATTGATTTAATTATTATATTGCTACTTATATTATCAACTCCATTACCTTTATTTGGTTTTAATAAATTTACAGCATCAAGTAGTTCTTTTTTAGATAACTTATTATTTTTCATATGATTATTATTAGAAGTTAAGTATGATTCAAAGATAATTTTACTAATTTTTATATTAGAGGCCAAACTTGGTCCCGTATTAACAAACGCATAATTGAAATAATTAGCGATTAAAAAGTCATTAGCAGTTTCACAATTATTTATAATAAGTTTTTTGGGAAAACCATTAGTGCTTATGTTTTTTTTTACCTATCACCTCTTTCATTAAACGCCTACTTTGTATACGTATTTGTGCTTGCACATATCTTCGCGAGAGTGCTCGATGAGTTAAAGTAAATTAAAATGATTTAAATTAAAACAGAGCTGTATTTACATATACTATTTATAAATAAAACTGCATATTTTTCACAACTATTAGTTTCATGCTAAATGCAATCATCAGGTGTAAATATGTTTTTTTTCTCATAAAAATAATAAATCTGTACAAAATAAAATGAGTTAAAAAATCTAATCTTTTGGTTTGTGGTTGTCCAGCAAAATCTTGTTCTCATGGCGACATTTAGATATTAGTTCGTTTTTTTTGTTTCATAATTCTTTAGGATTTTTATACAATAAAATAGTTAATTTTTCGTATAAGTAGCCATTCCAGATAATTGTTTTATAATTAAAATATTATATAATTAATGTCATTGTATAGGTTTGACTTAAAAAATGAGGGGTCATTTAGCCTTTGAAGTTAAGCGGATCAAAAGTTATTGACCTTTTTGTAGTGAAAAAACGGGTAATTTTTTGACAAAAGGTATAGGGCTTAAGTATGGAAAATTTACTGCGAAATGGCACCGAAAATGAGATTATTATTGATATTTGAATAACTTTTGAACCGATGATACATTTGACTTGAAATTTTCTATAGTGACCAATTAACTATAAGAAAATAAAATTCCATTTTTTTTATTTTTTTTTAAATCTTTAAGGATCTACTAGGATTACCAATTTTACAGACAATTTCTATATTTTACAGTTTTTACTAATTTCTATATTTTTGGGGTCATACTGACTTTTGAATAACTTTTGAATAGTTATTACTTTTGACTTGAAATTTTTCATAGTGATCGAAAAACTATAAGAAAATAAAAACCAAAATTTTATTTTCAAAAAATTTGTCGCGATTGTCCAGAATCATCTATTTTATAGCTGAAGGGTTTTATATTATTTTTTTAGTTTTGGAGAACAAAATTTGGGGTGATATTATATTTATACCATGTGAATATGCATAAAAGAATCATGGAATCCAAAAAAAAAAAACATTTGAAAATTATTGCGTAATTTACAGACCGGTCAGTGAAATAATCATATAAATTACTTTTCGGTCAGTAAATTGCTGAAAATGGGCTGTTCAAACAAATTAAACATAAAAACTTTAAATAATTTGTAATTTTTTTAAAATTTTTGATATTTTTGAACCGTTTTAACATTTGACTTGAAATTTTAAATAGTGATCCAGTTTTTATTAAATCTGTCGGGATTATCCAGAATTGTTTATTTTACAGACTGAAAAAAATCAGGTTATATTATAAAAACTCCATGCTATATTTATTTATTTTATTTATTTATTCTTTTTAACACCCAAATTACAGGTAAAAAAACAAATTGTATAAAACTAATAGTTTATACTTTTAGTGTAAAAAATTTAAACTTTTCTTGGGATGTTTTCCTCCATCAACTTAGTAAATACCAGTCTTTGTTCTCTGATATTCTAGAATTCAAAAGAATAATTCAAAATTGCCGCTATATTTTCTCCTACGTCATCGCAGCAACGTTTTACCGTTATTTTTTCCCCCTCTATCAAACACTGCACGAAGTTTAGCTCAAGTTGATTGCAAATTTTTATTACTTCGTTGATAAATAGGTTATCTTTAGTAACATCAGATATCTGAGCCAAAATCAGGGAAAAACAAGTTGGATTGTTCAGTAGTCTGATAAACAGATTTAACTTGTTTCGAATGAGGATGGTAGATATGTCATCAATTTTAAAGAAGGGATGCAAGTTGTTTTTGCTGTACTTCGATATACTAAATAGAAATTTTAATGCTGACCTTCCAACAGTGTTTAGTTTATTAAGAAGTGAATTATTATAACAACAAATTTCTAACCCGTATGATAAATTCGGTACAGCCAGTGATTTGAAAAAGTGTATTATGGTTAATGGTTGACAAAAACGAATACCCGATTTTGTAAGAGCTCTGGATATTGATTGAAACTGAATAATACGTTCGTTTATATTTAATGTTTGAAGTGTTGCTATATTTTTTGTGCATAGAGGATCGTCGAATCCAATTAATTCATCTGTTTAAACCTATTGCTTAATTTACAAACCGATTAGTAAATCATTGCGTAAGGGCATTGAAATAAATCTTTCAGAATTACCTACTTAACAGACAGAAGATTCTTTAATAAAATTAAAATTTAAATTTGAATGAAAATAACTTACAGCAACTGAACTTCTTGAAATTTTGTATACTCACAACAGTAATAGTAGGTATAACAGCAGAACTCTACCTAAAATTGTAATAAAATTATTATTAAAAACAATTCATCTAAATACATACAATAATACATCAAAAAACATTAGATACACAAAATTTTAAAAAAATATTTGTTAATTTATTTTAAAAATTAAAAATTAAAAAAAGTTATAAATTAACAGTTAAAACTAAATAAATATAAAATAAGAAACTTATTTTTTGAGATTTGTGAACTATCGACAACACTTAAGATGAAAAAATGAAAACAACATTAAAACAAAAAATATTGTTAGTCTAAAATTTATCTCTTGAATGATTAGAAGTAGTTTTAGTAACGAAACAACCTAACAATCATTTTTAACGATAGACACCAGCGAGAAGGTAAGCCAAGTTGTCTATCAACACAAAACATCACAACAATAAATATGGGCACTGCTCTAAAGAGCTAACGCCCCTTGTTTATCTACTAAAATTCATTCTCTTGTGACTGTTTCTAAGTGCTCCAAAAACTCTTATTCTTCTATTTTTTTCCTCGAACATCAGTTCTTTGGAATTCGCTTTTCTTTATAATTTGCAATCTTTTAAGTCATCTGTCAATTGTTATCTTCCCAGCCAGCATTGTGGTACGGGTACCATGCGGGACCCGTATGGGTCATCAACTGGGCCCCATATGGGTAGCCCTCCGGGTTCCCGCTGGTTTTTGGCCGCGGTTTCCATCCAGGGCCCATATTGGTTTGCCCGCCGGGAAACCCGTGTGGGTCCCATTAAGATCCCGCATTTTTAAACCATAAGGGTCCCGTATAGATTTGGGAAATATGGGAAAGCCCTCCGGGATCTCGCCGGATTTTGGCCGCGGTTTCTATACGGGGCCCATATGGGTTTAATAAATATAAGAGAATTCATATTATATGCTTATTTATTTCAAACAAAAAGCACATTAAAATTACATTTTTATTCTTTATTCGTGAATCGTATCGTAATCATGAATTAAAATCTTTGTGAAAACCACTTCTTTAAGCACTTTTTTCTTCATACAATATCTTTTTCAATAAAACCTGTGAAAAAATAAAAATTAAACTGCTTTGAGTTGAATTTTACAAGCAACCCATCGTTTATATTTTAAATCAACATCTTCTTTTAAATTGCATATTTTAAAATTTTTTTCAGATTTAAAAAAAAAAGTATTTTCTCACAATATTAAAATTGTGTTTAATAATTAAAGGGAGTATACTCACTAACCATTAAGTCAAAAAATTCTATACAAGAGTCATTCATTAATTCTAATAAACAAGACTACTTATCATTATTATTACTATTATATTTACTAACCTGCCATTAAAGGAGTTTATTTAATTGGAGTCATAAACTAAAATTGGAGTCGTTCTGTAGTCAACTCACACCACTAGACAAATATTGCCAACAGCCAATGTGAACCTATTGCAATTAATCAGAAATATTCTTAAATAAAAAATGCAAAATACCTTAATAACATAAGAAAATGATAACTGACATTTTCTAAAGAAAATTAAAAAAATGACACAAAATAAAAATGGAGTTAAACTTGTTATACTAATTATTATAACTTAATTAAAATAAATTAGGATAAATTAGGATGTATAACTAAGATAAATAAATCATATAAATATAATAACTAATGTAAATAAATAAAAAGCGCAGATATGTAATAAATTGAGATTTCTTAGACTTTTTCTTTAGTTACTTATAAATAAATTAGCATAGCGTATATATATATATATATTTTTAAATTTATTTGTTTACATATATAATTAGATATACAACATATGTTAAAAAAAGATTAAAAAATAATCACTTGACTTTCTAGAAAATTTTATTATAATATAAATGCATAATATAATATAAAGAGGTTATAAGTTTTAGAAAATAAAAAGTATTTATAATTCACAAATGTAGTTGACGCATAACAATAAAGCCACTTTTGTATGGTATTATTATATTATGGTATTATTTGTAAATATTATGGTATTATTTGTATTTATGGTATTATTTGTAAATAACTTATATTGATGTCTGATAGTGGGTAAATTTTATTAATACCAGTCATTTTGCTTGCATAAAATATCGACAAATTATTGGAAGAAAGTGGATCTGTGAAAAATGATTCAAGAGCTGCAAATTCTTCAAACATAACCAATCCATCACAAGATTCGCCTGTTTTTATTTGTATAATATTTCTAACTAAACCAATTTTTTTTTGCAACTTCAAAGTAGTTATTTCCATCAGTAGCAGAAACAAAACACTTAAAACCTTGGTAATTTTTAAACTGCAAACAATGTCTCAATGCAATGGTTATTGGTCCATCAACATGCTGGATGCTAAATTTCAGCTGATGAATATGATGTCTATCTTCCTTCAAACAGCCCTCGAAAATTCTCCTAACAATTTGTGAACATGGTTGTTGTGGCCTATGAACAAGCTTTTTTAATTGACCCAGATAATTTTCATATTTGAATGAGGAGCACTTATCCAAAACTCCAAAGTTAACTGCATCATCTGCTAGATGTATCAAAGAATGGACATTATAAACTAACTGATCTTTACCATAAAGTTTACCAAACGACTGCACAAAATAAGTAAGTAACTGACGAGCTAAACCAATATAGTTTTTCAACAAAATAGGACATAATAAAATACGAATTGCAACTGAAAGATCTAAAAAGTTTGAATAAAATTTTGGCTCAAGTAATCCCTTTAAAACAACTGGTCCAGTATATATTAGAAAAAGTCTAAGTTCAGTGGCTTTCCAATGCCGAAAATCTGATAAAGACCTTGGTTTCCTAGAAAATTCCTTTGGAATATAACAACGTATCTGGAAAAATCTATCAGATAAAATATTTACAGTATTTTGCGACAACTTACATGATCTGGGACCATTTAACCATAAGTTGATGATTCTTCGCACAACCCCTAGACATACTAGGTGCATGTAATCTAAAGGAAATTTTGATATCATGTCAAAACCCAACTCAATTAAAGGAGACACACCAATATGATGTTCCAAACTATTTTGATAACGAAAATCTGAATCAGTCCTTAAAGTTGCTGATGTATGCGGAAGGATTATTTTGCCACACCACTCTCCTTTTTGAACACAACGCTCACAACAATTATAACCATTGTGGCCCTTTATACATTTCACAAATGCTCTTGCTGGTGCATCACATATAATTGCAGCAAGCTTTACATCATACTTTACATTTTCATGGGTAAAACCATTTTCAGTAAGAGCTTTAATCTCAACCAAAAAATCTTCTAGATATTCATGAATAGAATTTGGTTTTTTGTCACCACAATAAATTGCTATTGGAAATACTATTGCTCCAGCTTCAATAAGAGTACCTAAAATTGGCCAAAGAGAAGTACTGGAACTGGTGAATATAGGTATACCATCAATGTTAATGTGAATGGTAAGTTGGTTGTTGTTTGATTCTATTGAATTGTTTTTAAACATTATTAAAAGCCAATACTGCATGCTGAAATAGTAATACTCTCCGCCCGCGACAATTTTTGTATCTATATTTTGGGGGGTGTGAAGAAGTGTTCTTGAATCTTTAGGCAAACTTAACCCATATTCTCTTAATAAAGGTAACAAACTGTTCAAAGCAGCATGTGTTATATTGAAGCTTAATGCCCGATTAGCAAGTTTATGAGGCAATTTTTCGCTGTCATTACTTTCATCACTCTTATAATCATCAGAAATAAATGACTCAGGAGACCATTCATTACTATCATCTGTAAGTAATTCAATATTGTTTTTGTTATTTTCAATTTCGCTAATTTCAGTCTCCATAACAGCTAAACTATTATTAGAATAATTAGAATTAGTTAAAAATTCGTTAGGTTCCAAATTACTGTCAACTTGTTCTCTTATTCCATGTAAATATGAAGAATCAAAAAACATATTGCTACTATATGGATAAACATCCTGATTCTGTATATTTAAAGTTGAAGATTCTTGAAAAAGTTTTGATACCACTTCAGCTATTTTTCTACGTTTAGATCTTTCAGAAGTCATTCTAGTAAATTAAAATAAACTATAAACAAACTTCTAACAAATATCAACTATAACTTATTATAACAAATTTAACAGCAATATATATATATATATATATATATATATATATATATATATATATATATATATATTATATATATATATATATATATATATATATATATATATATATATATATATATAAGTATAATATATATATATATATATAAGTAAATATATAATTGATTGAGTCCCTAATATCATTGAAAAAAAAATTTCAACCTGGAACTTATAAATAAGCAAAATTAAATAAAAATTTCAAAAAAATAATTTTTTATTTGAAAAAATATTTAAAGAATTATTATCAAAAAACTTTTTATAACTTTTTTGAAAACCATAGGTTTTATATGTATGTATATATGATAAAAAAAATTCAGAAACTTAAAAACAACACTGAAAAAAGAAACTCTTTTTTTATACAATAACTAAAATATTTAATAAAAAAACTACTATAAAATATAACATATTCGTTTAAGATAGGATTAAGAATTATTTAAAAACTTTCTTCCAAATGATTAACGACATCTAAGCGCCGTCTTCGACCTATACCTCTGTCACGAGCATTACCAAACCATTTTGAAAGAGCCTCCTCAAGCTGTTTTTTTGTACACTCTTTTGTAGATGTATTCATTTTTATGGAAGCTGTTGTAAAAAAATATTTTCAAATTTTTATTTGAATTAAAATAAAATATGTAAATTCAAATGTAAAATAAAATATGTTAATTCAAAAATACTAAATTCTAGCATACTATAAAGAATGTTGTACAAAATGGTTTTAATAAATCCACGCTTATTTTTTTGGCCGGTCAAATTTAGCTGTCTGGCCAATACATTTCCAATAAGATAAGTCATATTTCGATTAACAAATTCTGAAATATCTTGCCCACCATTTTCAAAAAGAATATGAACCTATAATAAGATTGAATATTGCAAAATTAAACTAAATGAAAATTTATTATTACTAAATAATAAAGTACATAATTTTGATAAAGTATATGAAAATTTATACAAAATAGGTCTGAGTAAACAATTACCAAAATCCTTTGAGTAGTAACATTAGCTAATATTTCAAGAGCCTTATCCAGTTCTTCCATTGTTGTTACAGGAAATGTTAAACCTTCTGGTAGCTCCACTGATGCTATGTCTCTTTCTATGTTAAACCGTTGCAATAAATTCTGAATCATCTTAGAGTGAAATTTTTGTGTTTCTTTAATTTGTTCTAACCCTCTCAAAATAGTTTTGCATACTCCTATAAATGCTTACTGCTAAAGAATCTAATTGCTAATCAACATTAAATCATAACATATAAACACCTTTTTTTTTAGGGTCTTCTATTTCTATAACATATATAAGTATAATATTACCACTGCGAACAATGGATACGTACCTGAATTTTCTGCTGCAGCAAAAGGTACTATTGTTGAAGAATTAGGCATTCTTTGATAAGTTTCAGACAAATTGAATGAAAAATCTGCAATATATGTATGAATGGT